TTTCATCGCGATTGGACTCTCCTTTCGAAAGTTATCGTGTTAACGGCCGGACACACTGACCGATTTTAGTAGTGTACTCACTTTTTGAGTACACAAAAATAGATTCTTTCTTCTATTTATTCTATAATTAACTTGATTTAAAAAAAAATCATAAAAAACAAACGAAAAATCTTTAATCAATCAATATTTTTATCGAGTTTTATTGGAGTACACTGGGTGATACAAATGAATAACATAGTAATTAAAAAAAGCATTAATTATAAAATATTTCAAAATTGTTCAAGGAAAATCTAACGAGGTCTCCACATTCAACTATGGTTTGGCCTTATCGGTGGCAAAACGACTCACATTATACTTATCTCGGTGTGGATGCCACGAGACTATGGTGGGCCCAACTGGACACTGGAAGACCCTCGTATTTTTTAATTCATTTACGTCATGGTCTTTTCAACTTGGATTTCTCGAAATACTTTAAAATTATATTTCTTAATCTCATCAAATGTAGTATTCATTTCTAAATAAGACAACTCCTATGGACATAGATAATAGTTAATTATTGAAATAGTTATCGTGTTGCTCTTCGATGAGATCCCTAATAGATTAAGTGGAAAATTCTCCATTAAGCGACAGTAATGATAGTCTGATTCAGAAAAACTTTTTCTACATTCGAACTTATAGTCTGGCGACTTTATCTATGAAAACCATTGCTTGACAACATAACTGATTCATCAGATATGTCGATGATCCTCTTTATGTAAACAATGGTTTTTTGTTTTTGTATTTTCTGTGATAAAAATTATGAAGATGAACTATCAAAATCAAGGACAAATTTATCTTATGAGATAAAAGATTGAATCATAGAAGTTTCTTACATAAATTATATAAGAATTTTCTTCATTGAAACATGAAATTTAACATTGTTTGATAAGATAAATAGTGAAAGTTTTCGACTTAATGTATTTCTGCATGATTGGAAAATATTCTTTCAACATCTATTTCTATAATCTAATCTAATTATTCATGCAAAAATGTTTTTGAATTGATGAATCAATTCATATAGGAAACAAAGAGTTAGGAAATTCAAACAAAAAGCATGTTTGTATACATTACTTTTGTATGTGCTTTTTTCTTTGTTTTTCTTTTGTTATCAGCAAAAATACAACAGATGCCTCATGTTTACTCTTATCGTACAATACTTTAATTGTATCAAATATTTATGTAATATATATAGGCATACAAAACCTTTCGAAATAAATTCTTTTATTTTCCGAAACATTGAAAGGTTCACTGCAATAGGATGCAGATTTCTATTCATTCTATAAATTAAACATATATTGCTTACATATTGTTTCTGTGATATTATTGTGCAAATATACTACTGATATGAAACACCTACGTATCGTAGGAATTCTTTGAATGTATGTTTCGTTGAAATTTTACTTAAAGATAAAGAAATATTTTCTTCATCATTTATGAAAAGAAAAAGAAAACAAAATTTTAAATGATATATTGATGATGATTTTGATAAATCCATAACATGTTATTTTATTAATTAAAAAAAAAATCTTTTTTTTAGCAGAAAAAACATTTTCTGTAATTAGTTCCATTTTATATATATATAATTAAGTACACGATAAATAGTATAGTCCAAGAATAACTTTTGTTCACGAATACATTTATCCCACATTTTGATCATTTTATCGTCTGCTGCTGGAGCATAAATGCATAATGAGTGAAGACGATTATCAGAAACTTGATTAATTATCACCGCAATATGTTGTAATACATATTTAAAATTCAATTGATCTAGATAATCGACTTGAATATATTCCAAATGACGACAAATATTCATAAAAAAATTTAGTTGTTCGAGGTCGATCATTTTTTTTAAATATAATTTTGTAATTTTATATGAATCTTTTATTGAACTTTTAATCGAAGATTTATCAAGATGTGACATTTTTGATTCTTTTAATGATAAAAAATACAAATTTAATGTATTAAGTTGTGGTAATAAATTCAAAAGTATCATTAACAAGTCCGAAGAAACTGTTTCTGAAATTTCCAAGTGATATATTTGTACTACATTAAGAACACGTAATATGTTTAATCTTAATTGTTCATCAGTATTTGTATTTTTAATAATTAATTGACTGGATTTTGATAATTCAACTGAATCGAAGAGCTTGTTATTTTTATAATCAAACCATCTTTTTCTAAAAAACACAACATAAACTATTTAATATTATAAAAAAGTTTTCAATATACTTGTATGGACGAACTGAATAATAAATAGATTTAGTAATGATTTCAACTTCAAATATCCATTTATGTTCGATCCAAAATGATGAAATAAATTGATTAGGACCTCCAGGATAAACAGAAAATTCAGATTCACTATCTACACCTTCATGGTAATGTAAATAAAATTTTTCTAACTCAGGTAACAATTTGACAATCAATTCTTCCCAACGATGAGCATTAAGAAATTCTATATCTTCAGATTGAATAGTAATGCACAAAAACTTTAATTGTGATTAAATTTTTCTAATGAAATTTTCAAAGTAATAAAAATTTGTATAGCATCTTTCTATCACCAGATGTGTTAAATTTGATAGCGTGATTGGTAATATTGTATGAATTATTGTAGCGATCTGGTTCAAAAACGAAAGTTTTAGACAACACAATTCAGGTGTATATGAAAGAATAATAAATAATTCGTTCAAAGTACAAGAGTGATCGATAATAAGGTATTCGATAGTAGTAGATTTTTTATTAGTAGCAATTGGAAGTGTTATTGAAATATCGTCTTCATCAAGAGTGAGTTTAATCGACTTTAATTTTGGTAAGGCAAATATTAATCGATAAATTTCATTTGATTTATCTGAACTACTCCATTCAACTAATTTTAAAGAGAAAGTTTGAGGCAAACAAGCTAAATTAATAAGAAGTGTAATAAGTGTATTTGTTGAAATTCCTTCAACAAATATTGATTTTACACGACTTAATGATGAGTTTATTATAAACAACGAAAAAAAATTATCATTGTCTAGTCGTAACCATAACTTGATTGATAATATTTTGTGTTTATTTAAACAAAGAAATGATCTATAATTATTCATAAATAATTCATCATGTGTTGGATTATGAAGTTCAATTTTAAACAAAAGAGAAGAAGAATTGAGAAGTTCTTGAAAACGAATATTCAGATTTGCANTATTCAGATTTGCAAAAGCTTTGTAGATTGCATAACCACCGAGATAGTCAAATACTTCATAGAAAAATTCATTTGATAAATCTTCAATACAAGTTATTGATTGATTATATTCATCTATTAGAATGAAAAGACAAAGAAATTTAAATTTACTGCTCGAGTAACTAACTTCGACATTTCTTTTTTTTCACCTTCAGGTGATTGACTAACAGCTAATGGTCGTTTAAGATGATCCATTTTTTGTTTTGATAATTCAAGTAATCTAAAAGAATTTTAACGTAAAAATTTTCATTTACACAAAACAAAGTAATTAAGAGTAAGTTTTTATCTTTTATATATGAACATTCATTATTTTAACGGCTATAGAAACAAAGAAAAAAGAAATATCGTATTATTGGCTTATCATTTTAAATCCATAAGATCAATAGAATGAAAGGTGGCGTATAGTTCTGTAGTACAGATATAAGTCTCGATGGCAGCTTCTGATTGAGTGTGAACGTAAGTGCGGTGCGTGTTAGCGTATTGATGTAGATATGACTGTATCTCTTTCTCTCTCTTGCTATAGGTCATCATCCGGATCGACAATCACAGATTTATCTCTTGGTATTTGCTCTTGAAATCGCATATATATTACTAAGTAAATAATGATCTACTAATTATATATTTACTAGACCATCGATTAAAAATTAATTATTTATTAATTAGACTTAAATTAGTTATTCCATAAAGTTTAATTAGTTATTTAAGCAAAATGTCTATCACAGTTTCTGAGAAAACTGACTACAAATTTTTACTTTATACTTCAGTGAGAGATGGCATTAGCTAGTTTCGTAGCTATTTTAAACCGACCTTGATTTCAATTGCGGTCTTAAAGCTTCTATGTTCGAATATATCTAATTCGATATTAAATTCATAGATTTTAGAATAATATATCGGCGTTTAATTATATACAAGTGAGTGAAACATTTTAT